GTAAGGAATTTGACATGCTAAGCTGGCTGTCAGCTGTCTGTCCTGCACTGCACCTTAATCAGCACTTTTCAGCAGCTGTCATTACCAATTGAACACGTTTGGTCAGTGTCAGGGTCAGGCAATGGAGGGAAGTTCACTGATTGACTTCTCAAACTATGGAACTGGTGTAGGAGAAAAGAAGCAAACAACATTAAAAAGTCTTTAGTCTGATTCTTCTTATACTAATTAGTATAGCAACAAGACCAGTTGTGCTTATACACTGACACATTATTTACACTTCATTACTGTTACATGTGCAAATTATATATGCAGATTAGATAGTATTGTACATATATTTTCATACAGTATGTATTATTTAATCATATTGTATGTCATTTCCCTTCAATATACTCTGGATTTCGTCTTCTTTTTTTTTTGCTGCATATAACTCATATTGGGCTGCATTTGTATTTTTTGTAAATAAAAGTTGTGTGTAAATGTTTTTGAATATTGATTAATAAGATGACCACATTTGCCTCGCACCTCCAAGGTTGGGGGTTCGATTCCTGCCTCCGCCCTGTAGGCGCAGAGTTTGCATGTTGTCCCCGTGCTTTGGGGGTTTCCTCTGAGTACTCCGGTTTCCTTCCCCAGTCCAAAGACACGTGTTTTTAGCTTGTTTGGCATTTCCAAATTGTCTGTAGTGTGTGAGTGTGTGAGAGATTGTGCCCTGTGATGGGTAATCTGTATAGTAATCTGTATGCAGAACAAAATGCCATTGGGATCCATTGTACATACATTGTGCATTTCACTTAATTTAATAAATATTATTATTATTATTATTATTATTATTATTATTATTATTATTATTATTATTATTATTTTATGGAGAACAAAGGAAAGTCCAATAGAGGAGAAAATCTGACTGCAAAGACTTTGTTCCTTGCATGCACCAGTCCCTCTGCACCTTGTGTCAGTGACTTATAAGAAAAAATGACACTTTGCCAATGTTGGTGTGAGTGCAATTCTAAGACAGTGGTGCAGGTGTTCATTGCTAAGCCTGGTGCTGTATTTGGTTTTAATAATGTTCATTGTGGAGAAGGCTGACTCACAGCAGGATGTGGAACCAAACATGGACAGGATGTGTAGTGCCATTTTGTTTAGAACAGGGAAATCATCTGCAGGCACCATCTTTCCCCAGAAAGTGGCAGGGTCACAATTACTAACCTGCTCTTTGAAAGTCACATTTTCTTGCATTTGCCCATCTGAAGATCTGTTTTGCTTCCTTTGAATACTCAGTGACATTTGTAAATAAGAAAGGGTTCTGTACGATCAGCAGCAGTTGTTCTCCAAGAACAAAATCATCAAAGCGAGCCTTGAAGTTGTCCATCAAGCTTCTGTATGAAATTAGCATGATAGGTTATATCCTGTGCTCCCTGGGTTTGCTCCAAGTGTCTGGGGAACTGGAGACGTTCACCTTGGAGATCTCCAATTTCCTCTGGAAAGCCCGGACTACTGTTATCAAATCACATACTGTGTTGTTCTGCCCCTGCGGCTTAACGTTGCACTCATTAATACTCACGCGATGTGATGTCTGCCAAAAATGCAGCTGTTTGCATCTTTTCTACATCTTCGGAAAACTCTGTAAACCGAGTTGCCTTATTACTCTGATAAGAAAGCTTTGATCTCCTTCCCGAATGGCCTAAAACCTCTGCCTCTGCTGAGCCATCTGACATCGTTCTGCAGTAGTCATCATCATAGCTGGCATTAACCTCTGACAGAAAGCCTCTCAGCATATGATGCTGTCAAGACAATGATGCGCTCAAAGAATTGATCAGTTTCATGCTGTATGATGCAGTGGTAAGATATCAGGTCAGTGTGGTCCTCTTTCAAACGTGCAGCCAGTCCACTCCCTCTTCCCATCAAGGATGGTGCTCCATCTGTGGTGATGCTGACCACCGACATCAGATCTACAGTATCCCTCTTTTTGTCAGTATCCCTTTGATGGCCTCGTGAATGTTCTCAAGTGCTTCAAGTGTTGTTAAACCCAACAGGTCTTGACAGAATTTCTTCTTTGTTTCATCATAGAATCTCACAAATACCAGTAGCTGGGCATTGTCAGTGGTATCTCTTGAGTCATCCACAGCTAAAGAAATGCATGGTGCATTCTAAATGAACTAATATTTCAGTTCTTCTAATTGCTGTGGAATCTGACAATGTTTGATCTGTTTGATCTTTCCGTCCAGCTCATATTTTTGTTAACCACACTCACATTCACGAAGTGTGTCTGATATCGATGGACATTCTGTTTCTGTGTGTCTGTCTGCTGCTTGCTCACAGTTGCGACATCGTCTTTCACGTGCGAAGATATTTGCATATATTTGCGATCGGATGAGACACGGAACTCTTCACGAGAACAATTTGCATAAACGAATGCGGTTGGATGAGGATGCAGAACTCGTCTCGAGGTAAATTTTTCATAAACGATTCACACGATTGGATCGGACTTGGTTTCTTCACCGGTAGAGAGTGAGAGCAGAGCAATGCACTGGGTCGATCATGTTCGAAAGCTGTCAGAAATAATTTTTTTGACCTGTTTAATGGTGTTCAATTTATTGGCCCTTTGCTGGGTCCAGACACGTACCGCGGGCCGCCATTCGAATATGACTGATGTAGTAGGTCCAGAAGACTGGTACACGAACAGACCTTTCGGTAGGTTTACAGACTACATAAGTAACTGTAAAACTTAACTAAATGGCACACTGTGTCTCATTCACACACACCAATGGTAGCACAGCTGCAATGCAAGGCACTAACTTGCAATCAGGAGCAACTTGGGGTTCAGTGTCTTGCCCAAGGACACTTCGGCATGTGGAGTCATCTGGGCCAGCAATCGAACCGCCAACTCTACAGTTAGTAGGCAACCCACTCTACCACCTGCGCCACAACCGCCCCTAACTAGTGTTGGTACTCGATACTGGTTTAGAATAGATCACAATACATTAGGATAGATTTGAGAGAACGTTAGCGTTAGGTTGGTACACCATATTGATGCATCACGTTAATTTCTGAAGACTTGCTCAAGAAACTCCAAATGATTGCAGGATTTGCACAGCAACCATCTTATGTATATGTATGCATAATTGAAAGCATGTATAACTGAGCATGAATGGTGAAAGAGTGTTTTCTAATCTTGCTGCGTGTTAAATCTTCCAGTAATGCAGCTCGGCCATTTCAGCGCATCAGCATCCACAGACACAAACTTTCCGTCTTTTAGAGGGTTCCATTATTTTTGACCTAAATGAATGTGTCTTAATTCATGGATTAGTTTGTTTTCATCGCTATCTTTCAAGTCATTAAAACAAATTTTATTGATTGATCGATTTTTTCAAAAAGTTCGGTAAATTTGTGTTTTTAATTGAAGTAAATAAATGATTTAAACTTGGCAGTGTAATTCATATAAAAAATTGGCATAACTTATCGTCCAGGTATATTATTTGAAGCCGATTAATTGAGGTTTACAGTATGGGCTCTTGTAGGATACAGGGAAAAAAAAAAACTAACTAAATTTTCATGAATACCATGTTTACAAGAATCCAGTTTGATGAATGAGCCCTATTGCGTATGAGGCACATTTGTGCACATATGCTTTCTTATGCACATAATCTTTTTGCATATATTGCTTTGTTCATATTGCATTTCTGCAATAGGTGAATAGGAAGCTAGTTATTCAGTGTCAGGTCAGTGAGTACCCAGAGTACCCAGACTCACAGCACCCACTACTAATCACTAGGTCCACTCCTTATACTGCTTTGATGGTGTCTTTAAAACCCAAAACACTTTATGAAGTCTCCGTTCATATTCCTGCCTTTCTCTCCCCTGAGATCAGCCCTGAGCAGTGATTACAGGATCATAAGGATGTTTTCCCTAAAGCAGGAAGGTGTGGAAGAACCCCTCTACGCAGGGGGTTAATGAGAAACGCTGGAGTCACATGATCGGCATGAGGCAGCCACGCTGTGCCAGAGGTGTGAGGAGCCCGGTCACCATGGAAACAGAAGCTTTCTTACCTCAGCAGGTCTGACCCTGCTGTCTGCCACTCCGATGTGTTTAGGCTCACGTAGATTCAGATCCTGCAGAGTGTATCAGTATGGGTGACCTATAAACAGATGAAAAGGTCCCAAAGGATCACAGCTGCACATTTTGTGGGGATGTGGTGGGGGTGGAGGTTAATCTCCAATTCGTTCATTAAATTCAAAGCTCCTGATGAGTGAGATCATTTGTGGAGAAGGTAAGGAGGGAGCAAGTACACTAGATTAACCTCAAGGACACCAAAATTGAAAACTCTGAGGGAAAAGGGTTTAAAAGAAATGAAAATATTATTAAATACATTTCATCTTTTTTTTTTTTTTTGACCTAGATTATTTCCATACAAACATCAGGTTACCATGGGCATCTCTGATTTAAAGAGAAGAATTAAAATGGACATTTTATTTACTTTTACATTGCCAGGAGCAGCTCGGAAATATATTCGTTCTGAGTAAGATTCCTAAGCTATTAGGGATTTCAAGGCCAGAGTTAAATCATCATCATCATCAACAGAATCATTAACTCTGTGGATTGGTGTATCTACAAAAGCAGGACTTGACACCATTAACTGTAGAGGGATGTTTAGAGGTATGAAATAGAATGGAGCTCCAAAGCAAAGCAAAAATGTAAATCATGTCTGCAGTCTTGGGGTCTTGATGCTGTGGTTGATGAGGATGAGAAATGAACTGTGCAATGATCTAATTCTGCTTGTCTAAGATAAGCTGGAGGCAGATGGAACATTTGCATTTGCTAATTATGAATGGAATTCGTAATTGTCTCTTGAAGCATAGTGGTGGAAGTATACAGGAGTCATACAGCTTTTAGTGCAGCGGTCGCCAGCTAACAAACTCGAACCAGTTCAGCTTCTGTACCAGCAGATCCGCTGTTGGGGCCAATGACATACACTTATGTAAATTATTTAGCTAAAGGCAGCTGGTTCCCCGGTGGACTAGTGGCTAGCGTGCGGTGCTTTTATTGCGACAGCCTGGGTTCAATTCCCAGTCAGGGAACCAACCCCAGCCACTGGAGGGTTACACTCTCAGTGCCATTCCCAAGCCAGGGAAATGGGGAGGGTTGCATCAGGAAGGGTGTCCAGCATAAAACTTGCACCCAGAATCAAAATATGTGGATGGGCAAACTGCTGTGGTGAACAGAAAAGAGGGTTGGGTTTTTTTTTGTTGTTGAAGAAAGCTGTTCTAGCTACAGTTACCAGCTACCAGAGGCTAGCTACAAGGCTACAGACATTAGATCAGAAAATCGAGGGCTTTCAAAGATTTTTAATTTTGTTTAACTTCTTAGATCATGATTAGTACATGCCTCAACTCATTATTAGTTCATATTTAAGTAAGTATTAATTCAGGTATTAGTGCATGATTATTCATGTTTACTGTTATTGTAAAGTGTCACCATTACAAATTTTCGTTGAATACTACAGGACAGTATTCTGTTTCAAGCAAAGTTATTCTGATGAACAAATTGCCTCAACATTAAGCTCCTGTGTTTTCCCTTATGCTTCAGGCCTAAATATAGGCATAAAGAAAGAAATAAAATTACACGTGCTCAAAAAGGCATGCCGAAGCACACAGTTATCAGGTGATTTCACGCCTCTGTGTCTCGTGTCTCCGTTACGACCTTTTCGCCATCACGTGACATGGCTGTGAAATCACAGGGCTGGTCAGGTCGGAGTCGTCATGCTCCATGTGATCTTACTAAAGCCGCAGGAAAAGCCATGCAGATACCATGCATTCCACCATCCCATTTTGTAGTCACAGGGTTTACACTGCTGCAGGCTTGAAACGCTTCATTCATGCCGGATCAAGTGATCTGAGCCAAGGGTCAGGTCAGACAGTGTTAATGTCAGGCCTGGCATAATGCCTTGCTCTCTTTTTCCATATAAGGGCCCTGGCTGTTCTAGTTAGCGTCGTTATTCTTAGTACGGACTCGGCGAGAGGGAAAAATAATGGCATCGGATGGCATGAATGGGGCGCATACAGAAACTAGCACTTCACTGGCTTATTTTTAGGTGCAAAGTGCAAACTAGAAGGAACTGTACCACTAATAACGCTATAAACATTTATTTTGACTAAAGTATGCATTTAGCTTAAATTCAGGAAGGTGGAAATATATATATATATAATATATATATATATATATAATTGGGATCTTAGCTGAATAGCTCAGTGTGCATATGCTTGTTTGCTTGGATTTGTGCCCAAGCAGGTGTATGCTTATCAGCTTCAGGGATATTAATCATGCCTCATGAGTCTCGAGCCAAACTCCTGTCCACCTCCCGGTCTCTGCTCCAGAGTCAGCAAGTGAATTATCATCGTACATCCAGCCACAAATCAAATGCGAGGTAAAATGATCACGTCGCCCTGTCGCATCTTCGTCACGCTGGTCATTAGTCAAATCTGTCCCAGAAAGCTTTGGTATCGGACTCATATTACCTCAAGCAGCTATAGAGATGCTTTTGGATTGCTAATTGTGTTTGCATTAGTGGAACACGAATCATCTATAATTAAACAGGCCCCCACAACCCTCTCCTCAGCTTGATTACCACCCCTATCACTTTTTTCCTCTCTCCTCCCATCCCCCCACTCATCCTCTATCCATTGTCGTCTGTAGTGGTCATGCTGATGTAGAAGTCAAAAAGACATATTAACGAGTGTGATATCTCGTGGACTCGATTTGAATAATACACGACTCTTTGTTCAAAGTGTAAAGGCTTTTCTGAGACACTTTGCGTTGGCAGGAACGGCGTACTGTATGTGTCTGACAGGTTTTTGCTACCGGTTTTCTTTCGACACTTTCCAGCATGATTACGCATTTCGAGTAAACCTACAACCTCAAACCTATCACCACTGTGAGAGATCCCCGGCAGCTGTTCTGAAGGCAAATTGGGATGTTTCCCGTTTTGATCCAGGGAGCGATGGCGTAGTTGCCTGTAATGCTAGCTGGCGTTCACAGCTAACAGCTGTTCGTGCTCAGGTCATGTTTCCTCAGCGATTTTGGGGGGGGGGCCCCCGGGGCTATTTTCTAGATATTATATTAATTACCAAACTAACTCGTGTCTGAAAAGGTCTGATCTGACTCATAGGGAAGGCTTTTTGAGCCTGGAACAGTCTGGATAGTGAGAAAAAAACATGGGTGCTGTTCTTTAGTGTGTCATTTAATCGTCTGATTCTGTGTGGGAGGAGGGGAACCCCTCCGTTCTTGTCTTGTTAATATGGGAAAACCCACCTTTTTCTTTTCGCTCCATCCTCTCTCTTTTTGTCGTTGCCCCCTCCCTTCTTACATCTCCGCCTCTGCAGTAAGCCTCACCCACTCTGCATCCAATGACAGCTTGAGATTCATCCCCGAGCCCTGCATGGCTGCAGAGTGCGTAATCATGAAAAGGATGTGTGTGTGTGTGTGCGTGTGTGTGTTTATGTGTGCAAGGAAGAGATCAGATTGCGTGGGGGGAGTGCGTAAGGAGCAGCGCACCACGTCTTGCTGCTGACAGTGAAGAAATCACGTTTACTTGAAAATGTGATGAAACAGTAGCTCTGGAGGGTCGTTTTCCCATCGGGATGGACCGTAATTGCTGGCAATAGTTGGTGTAAGTTACACCTATCCACAATTTGCCCATGTACGCACCTGCCTACATATGGTGCTTTCACCTGGTACTTTTGGAGGGGACTCTCCATTGAAAATCAGGACAAGTCGTTGTATGTAATTGAAGCTCTGGCCTTTAAGGTTTCATTTGAAATATGAAAAAACCCCCAATGTTCCATTCAAGCTAAAACTACCAGCAAGGCATTTCCAAATGGCACAATAAATCAATAAAATCAGGAACTCACACACTGCATGAATTTTCAGAAAATTAGCTCCAGAAATTGCCAAAACTAGGCTTAGACTAATCTATACTAACTTATCTATAACAATCGGTTTTACTGTAAATATTGTATACAAATTTGTTCATTTATTATAGCTTGTAACACAAGGTTCCATATACTTGAAATGTTTTTCAGGTTGATATACTTGGTTTGAGTGCCAATACTTTTAATTAAACATAAGGAATCAAACACACCATGCTATTATAGGAAAATAATCAATGATGGGATGCTAAGCGCTGGCCTGATACAAAGGAGAATTTAATTATTTTTTTTCATTTACAACATGCCCTGAAGAGTTTCATTCCTCTTATACCACACCACCGGGGATGGGGATTTGAATCCCACGTCCGCCATGTGTGCATGGAGCTTGCATGTTCTCCCGATGCTTCGGAGGTTTCCTTCAGGAACTCTGGTGTCCTCCCCATTCCAAAGACCTGCGCCGTAGGTTCATTGGCATTTCCAAATTGTCTGTAGGGTGTGAGTGTGTGAGAGATTGTGCCCTGTGCCGGGTCGGAGACCCGTCCAGGGTGTCCCCCACCTTGTGCCCCGAGTTCCCTGGGACAGGCTCCAGGCTCCCAGCTTTCCGTGACTCTGTGTAGGCGATTGTGCCCTGCGATGGGTTTCCCCCCCCCCCTAGGATATCCCCTACCTCGTACCCCACGTTCCCTGCGATAGGCTCCCGTAACTCTGTGTAAAATAAGTGGTAGGGAAAATTTATTTATGTATGAATTCAATGTCAAACTTTTCATCTATGCACTGCTGCATTTAATGAATGCGTTAGTTCTTTGTATCACTTACACTATAGCAGCTATAATCCGGCTTTCCTTCACCAGCTTCTATTTTTTTCTATCTTGAAGTTAATAAGGCAGAAAAATGCAGTGTCAAGAAACCACAAAGCCGTAAAAACTCCTCTGTCCTGATGATTTTCACTTGTCCAGGTCCCATGTAAAGTCACAGCTTTACTTTTGATCCTTACGAAGCGCTGACTCTGGAGACTCCTTCCATAAATGTTAACTAAACATCTCCTTATACAAAACTTCATCATATCAACAACTACACATAGTTTGTTTATAATATGCAGAGTGTCCATCACACAAGTCCCTGTGTAAGTCGCTACTATAGAAATGACAATGTATTAGAAATAGTGCATTCATACAAACCCGTGATAGAAACCATTCAAAGCTGCTGTTCTAGAAAACTAATCAATATTTTTTTTCTTTTCTTTATTATTAGGATTAAACAGTGATGTGAGTGTAAACTATGTGCATAAACTATGATTCAGGACATTGTACCAAGTTGTCAGTTTATAAATCGCAGGTCTAAAATCAACGTCTGTGTAATACAGGGTAAGTGTGTTCACACTTCCCTTGTAACCTTTGCGACTCATTAAGCACACATTCATTTTGCACTTCACGTCTTACTTTTATCGGTTTGCAGTTTACCATTTTATGTGCATAGTTTAAACAGTTTATAGCGCTTAGCCCCGCCCCTCAGCTCTATAAGTTCCTCTCTCACTCAGCCAAACCCATTAAAACCCATATGACGGTGAAATTATTAATGGTGTTACCACAAATGTCTAAACATGAAAGTTATCAAACGTATATATAAACTTTATATAAAGTTAGATCACAATGTGAACACTATAAATGATGCAAATGAAGTTTTGTGATTATATATATATATATATATATATATATATATATATATATATATATATATATATATATATATATATAATTATTTATTTATTTATTTATTTATTTTTTAAATAGATTGTATAGAGAAAAAATGGTCACCATTTTAGCATTTGTATATGATTAATTTAGCAATAATGATCCCTATAGCTCCAACTCCCTCTAAATCCCGAAGGACATCATGGTGTTAGAGGATATGTAATGTAATGTGATACCTGCAATATAAGTAGAGATTGGAGTGTCTTTCCCCCCCCCCTTTTTTCCTTTTTTGTTGCTGAAACAAATAAAGCAGGATGTACCCAAGAGCATGACAAAAATACAGCAATCATTTTCAGGTCACAGACGTCACAGGTCAAGGTCAGTGCCCCAGAGGGCATCCTTGATGAGAATGTGTGAGTTTATGAACCTGTGATTGGTTCTTCTTTTACAAGGACACACAAA